GACGGTAACACTGCCCAGGTTGTTTAGACTCTAGTCAAGTCCCGGACACAAGCACGCGACTTGACGGCGAGATGTTTTTAGTGGCTATTAAAATTCAGGCGCCAAGTCATGTCCAGAGATAAGAAACTCTGCCATATTTACATTAAACTACTATGTCTGCTAACATTTTTTCAATTATTTCCTGTGCCTTTTTTTTTTAAAATTTGTACTCATTGTCATTGCTTTTTATCGTATCTTTCTTGTTCTGAAAAGCACTTTCGTTACGTTTCGCTCTTGCATGAACGTAGCCTATATAATAAAGTATTATACTATTGTAAACACCCCTTTTTCTTTTTGGTACCATTTTCTGTGATTGGTCTGTTGACGGAGGAAACAGTCTAAAACGTTCTTGGGCCACTGCCCGCCTGGAGGAATAGCTTTTTTCAAGACATGGAGTGTTCTGCCATCAAAGTCAACTCTCTTTCATCCTGAGTGGAAACTGAGGTTCAAAGACATCTGATGTATTTGGGCAGGATTAGATCGTGGCAGAGAGGACTTCTCTTTCATTTGTGGGTTTTCGTGTGTGTGTGTGTGTGTGTGCTGTGCTGTTGTGCTGTGTGTGTGTGTGTGCTGTGTGTGTGTGTTGGCGTGTGTGTGTGCTGTGTGTATGTGGTGTGTGTGTGTGTTGTGTGTGTGTGTGGTGTGTGTGCTGTGGCTGTGTGTGTGTGTGTGTGTGTGTGTGTGTGTGTGTGCTGTGGTGGTGGGAATGGCTACTCAATTAGCCACGACACAGCTGTGCTTCCCCCCTCTCAACTGCCCTCCTTTGTGGGTCTCAGTTTTGAGCCGATAATTGTCCACATTAGATACTGCCCGCTAGTGCCCTCCCAAAGCTCCCCAGTTCATCCAATATCGAAGTTTGATCCGGACTGAAATCCTGCACACGCACGATGCAAGTAAAGCGAAAAAAATAGACATCCAAAAGAAATTGATAATCAGATACAAATGTTGTTGAATTCTGCTTCCTCTCGCTTCCTGCATTTTTGATCTACGGCCGTGCTGATGTGTTGTGGCACAGCGGACGTTGTACAGTACCTCTTCTGGAAGTAGTCAGAAGGCCCTAGACATATTCCACTTATGCTAACTGTCCCATGTTACAAGGGCCGCATGAGGCTGCTGCGAGGGGGAAGGTAAATGGCCGCGTGGGCTACACTGCGAAACTGTGCTAGATGTCTGTGTGTGCGCTATGATGAGGCCCTACATGTTAGCACGCAGCTGTATCGCTGCATGTCTGCACCTGCCGTGTTTTGAGAGACAGGCTTTCCGTCATCTGTGAATTATGCAGAACCAGGATGACGGCGTGCGCAGGTCGGGGGAACATGCGGACGCTCACAGCCCTTTTCAAATTAGAGAGCGCTCAAAACATCAAGTAGAAAACCAGGCCTAATGAAACAGCAAAGAAGGGAGGAAAGGTCTAAAGAAAGGCCCAATCCCAAATCACCCTCGACCTACCCTCCGGTGACGGCTGTGACTCCGTCGTGTTAGCCACACTCGCAGGGCTGAACGAGTTCCCTCCATTAAGGGGTTAAGGGGTATAAATACAGCAGCAAGCTTTGGGCCGGCCTTCCCCTCTCTCCGGCAGAAACAGGAAAATGCCGGTAACTTGTATGGTTAAAAACGGTTTTCAATTTAGCATTTTCTTTTGACAAAAATGTTAAATTAATTGTACTCAAATAAAACTCCAAACATCTTTAATTGTATATTTTTTTTTGCTAAAGCTCTTTTGTTTGAGGTTTAACCTGATGTTTATAAGCTTCTTTGTTTTTTGCAACAGTCTGTAAATATACACAACTTTATAATAAAATGCGCACATTTACCTTTTTCTAGACTAAACACAGGTATGATCCTAAGTTAAAACATATGAGGCTATCATGAGGTTGTTATCATCGCAGTTTATCAGTGGATGTTTTGCTGGAACTACTTGTAAACAGCGTGTTTCCAGACGGACACACACAGCGTTGACTCCGGTCAGGTAGAGACCGGTCTCAAGTCAGCACCGATGCAGACTCGCTGTTTGAGGGCTTGATAGCTCACTCCGCCTCCACACCGCTCCACACTCGTTGGTTCGGAACAGCCCTCAATATGGCGGACCCTCCGCGTGAACGCGCAAACGGAGGGGGAGTGTGTAGGGGGAGTGTGTAGGGGGTGATTTGGGATTGGGCCAAAGAAATACTGGAGAGAAAGGAAATTAGACAGGAAGCAGGATAGGGAAGAATAATGTGGGGCATGATGATGAAATGGATTGGACTGAGACCACAACAAATTATAATATAGGGGGTAAGAATGAGACTCAAGTTTACAAGGTTTGTGCTGTCTTAAAGGGGCCATTTTAAGTGTGTTGTATAGTTTTTGTGTGCATGTAAATGGTCTGCAAATGCTAACATCCCTGTGTTCCCTCAAAAAGGGAGTTTCTCTCCCACACACCCTGAAACGCCTCCATTGGACTCCTTTGTTCACTTCAGTAACATAGTGACATCACTATGTAAAACACGCTCTTCTATTGGCTAGCGATCCAACATATTGTACGTGATGGGACATTTCTAAGCGATTGACCAATCACAACAGAGCCGGCCAGTTAACCAATCAGAGCAGACTGGGCTCTGGTTTCAGACAGAGGGTGAAAAGAGGTGCTGCAGTATGAGAAAAATAAATATATTTTTGAACAATAAAGCATTTCATGTCACAGTAGAGACACTAAATACAAATATGAACCTGAAAATGAGCTTCATACAGTATGTGCTCTTTAAAGGCGATGTTCAGTGTAAGAAATCGAGTATAGAAGTAAAACAAGAAGCAGGAGAGAGAGCCTCACAAGCAAGAAGCAGCAAATTCCTCTGAGAGTTTTGCAATTTATTTCGTACCTTCAGTTTAGTTCACTAGAGCAGAGTCACACCAAGTGCAGAAAAAAAACAATCAGCTAATTATGCATAATTACCCTAAATAGTGTGTGATTATCAGGCAAGGAGCCATTTTGTATTATCATCAGTGAAACTTACTCTCTTTAACACACACACACACACACACACACACACACACACACACACACACACACACACACACACACACACACACACACACACCATGCCACAGGAACAAAGCAGGATCGGTATTTTTGGTACAGGTGCTTCTTAAAAAACTTCTCTTCTATAATTAGAAAGTGTTTTGACGATTCAGGTGTTGTATTTGGCCCGTGTTAACACTTTTGGATATTTATTTATGGATCAAGGACTGCTGATGAAATGAATCCTGTTTATTGACTATCCTCCTTCTGTTATCTCCCCCTATCCTCAAATGCCCTCTCTTTTTCTTCACATGTCCCTTTCTCTGTTTTTTCAACCTGTTTTTTTTTTCTTCCTGTGCAGGTATTGGTCAAGGTGTGCCGGTGGTGGCTCTCATCGTGGAGGGGGGCCCTAATGTGATCTCCATAGTGCTGGAGTACCTCAGGGACACACCCCCCATCCCCGTGGTGGTGTGTGATGGCAGCGGCAGGGCCTCCGACATCCTGGCCTTCGGACACAAATACTCTGAGGATGGGGGGTATGCAATCACCCGTCCACTTTATTACATGTTGCTGTAATCCAATGATAGATGCTTATTGATACACTTGTTATCCAATAAGTGGAGAGTGTTGGTAATCAGAATGTTTTTGTTTTTTATGGTAGTTCTGCCTAACAAAAAGCCTCAGATCAAGATTAACAAATAAACAGTTGTATGTTTACTGCACATAACAGCAATAATGTAATTTAGCTGATTTGCTCCCATTGTAAAAGGATTTTGTTACCTTAAAGCAGGCTAGAGCTTGCAAACCGTCTATATTTTCTGAAATGTGCTTTGGCTTTAGTTTCAAAAACACACTGTAAACATTTGGGTTTTATCCAAGACACCCTATAAGTAAAGAATAGTTTTTACGGCTTCAAATATCTACTTACAGATGAAGGTAAACTTGCAGAATGAAATCTGACCAAGGAGTCAACCTTGGTTTCACTTACTGCCAAGCAAATCTAGTTTCCCTGCTAACTGTTTTATTCACCTTCCCTCTACCTGACACCCCCCTCTGCAGCATAATTAACGAGTCTCTGAGAGACCAGTTGCTGGTGACCATCCAGAAGACTTTCACCTACAGCCGCACACAGGCGCAGCATCTGTTCATCATTCTCATGGAGTGCATGAAGAAGAAGGAGCTGGTGAGTGTCACGTTCACACATGTGCACACACACATGCCAAATACATATATTTGCATGAGTATATTTGCAGAAGCAGAAAAGCCAAACATGCAAGCAGTATGTACATAAGATGTTGATATTCTGACAGATTCACAGACTGACGCTCGCCACGAATAACACTAGATTAACATTTATTCAGTCTTTGACGTGTCTGCTGTACAAAAAAGAAACATTACAAATATGGAAGAGGGACAAATGGATTAGTCAAGTGAAGCTTGCTCATCTTAAAAATTTTGTTGAAGCAATTATTGACCCATCTTTTATTCATCATGGCATGTAATGTTAAGTGGATGTAAATGAATTCTGATGACGTTGTGGACCAAATGGCCTCGACCTTGAGATGCTGCACCCCTTCGGCACGGTTTGATTCCCCTTCACACCAAACCAACCTCTTATTCATGCTGTTGAATGCTGTGAGTGTAAAGGTTATGTTTGTGTGTGTGTGTGTGTGCGTGCGTGCGTGTTGGCATTTATTTGTCATGGTACATTTGATCTACAGTAGCAGGGGGCATGACACTTTCTTCCCACAGTCATAGTGTTATATGTCACACACATTGTGATTGAGTGTGTGCAGGTACAGTACACACACACACACACACACACACACACACACACACACACACACACACACACACACACACACACACACACACACACACACACACACACACACACACACACAATCTCACACTCACTTATAATAAATGACTATAACACTCTATGACGCAGACAAACAGCTAGCAGCTTTTACGGTATCTTAGTTTTGCAGCAACTATTTGCTACTTGGTTGCTCCCGCCTCAACTCATTCTGAACAAAGTGTACACTGTATTGCGTATGGATCAGTGACTGTTTATATTGCCGGCTGCCAACGGCATTTTTCTTATGAATTAATAATAAAAGTAAAAGTGCTGAGCAAGAATATGGTTAAGCATCTCGAAACTTGGATGCTTAAGATGACTCAACCAGGTGTTTATAATGCAACAGTCTTCCAGTGTCAGCAATAATGACTACGCCGGCTTATTTAAAAATATATAACTCCAGATATTACAGTTTGGATGTGATATTTGAGGGAAAGATAATTTCCTCTCTGGCCCAAAAATATCAAAACATTTAAAAATAATGATGATCATGGTGTGATTCTTTCTTGGATCCAAGAACGATTTCAATCAATTTACGCTAACGTGTGCAGCCCTTATTATAACAATAGTAGCACACTTAGCATGTGCCCAAATGAAGCACACACACACATTATCAAAGATACAGTAGTATTTTGCAGGCAGTCCAGCATTGGTCATGGTTGAGCGGCGTGAAAGTGGATTGAATGTGTTGTCAGTGGGGTTCCAGTGACTGATGCTCGCTCTGATGTATCTTCTGGATACAATACACCAGAGCAGAACATCGTGTGGATCATTCAGCAGGAGCAGCTGTACAGGCCAGATAATCTGATACGGCCCTCTGTTCCTTTTCTTTTTACCGCTGCCATACTCAAACGCAGCACTGAACACTGTGTATTCTGGTGAAATTATAAATCCAGCCAACCTATATTAATAATCTTGTGCTTTGCAGGCCAATAAATTATATTTCTGTATCTGAAAAAGGAAGAAAATCTTCTTTAACATACATTTAGCCTGTGTGATCACAGTAAGAGACAGTAGGTGCTGTGATCCAGGGTGCTGAACTTCATGTAGTATGATTGGTGCTTTTTACACGGGAACGTTTGCGTTTATGCACAATATGCGTTTTCAAAAAAGTCTTCCGTTCACACATATTCGTTTCATTTGACGTGTCTGCTCTGTTCTGTTCACACGAGAACGCTGGACACGCTGTAGTACATATGCCGGGCCTGTAACTGGCGCTGTAACTTCCGCCACAAAATACACCAAAAGCCGCGAAGAAGACCCCGGAGCATGATTGCCCTTCTGTTTATGCCCCGCAGTGGATTTAGCAACATGTAGTAGTTCATGTAATTCTCCATGTCCACTTGTTGCTGATGGTTGTGGTAGAGGAGCTGTAGATGTTGCACTAACATCTGTAGCATGGTCAGTAGCAGTAGCACTAGCTACAGACCATGCTACAGCAGTGAGCAGCAGAGGTGAGGAGAGGCGGGGCTATGGCTTCATCTATCGGGAAATGATCGTATAGAGGCGATTACACGGAGCCGTTGGACCCCCCAGAGCGTTTTGTTTGCAAATCTATCCACCTTGGGACCCGTTACCGTTTGTGGGGTCCGTTTCTATCGTTTTGTTACGGCCTCGTGTAAATGAAAGGGCTATACGCAAGAGAAACTATGCGGATCCAACCCGTTTTGTTCTTGTGTAAACGGGGTCTTAGAGGTGTTGGTATGCCGTTTTCGTTTGGTAATGCTAGCTAGGCTAACAGTTTCTTCCTGTTTTCAGTCTTCGTGCTAACTAACTGGCTGAAACTTCATATGCGACAGATAAACACGAGAATTCTTGAAGTTCTCGTAACTATCAGAAAGCAAAAGCATTTCTTCCCCGATGTTGAATTTAAACTTGATTTGAATTCAAGTTGATTGATACGAGAAAATCCCCTCCAAGATGCTGTCACTTCTATTGTGATTAAGCGCATATATGGTAATGAAAAGCGTGAATGCTTGCAGCAAAGCAGGAATTGTACCTGTTGATGCTGTTCTGCATGTCTGTCTGCGGCTACACAAGGTTGCAGAGTGAGTCACACTCTCAAATAAATACCTGTTCCTTTTGGGAAATCCACTAATTGAAAGTCATAATCAATACAGAAGACCACTGTGAGTCATGTAGATCCCGAGCTTCAGTTTCATTTGCAAAGTTAAACATAAAAGTTAGCTGCCATTGAGCTACTTCAGGTATTTACATACAGTATATAGCCCCATTTCATATATTCAGATGAAACTAGGGAAAATTGATTTGAGGCCGTTTTGAAATCAAGTACATTCCCTCAGGGTGAAGAGCCTGAAATGAGGTCATGCTTTGGTTTATCTAGATTTAGATTAGTTAAGAGGTACCGTACACTGAGCAGCACTGACTGGTTATCAGCAGAAACCCAAGCTTTTGCTTTCTGTTTTTCTTTTACCAGTTTTACTTAAAACAAATGAAGGCATAAGGACATTTCTGTCAAGCTTTTGGAAGCCATCATTAGCTGCTGAGCTTCCCTTTCAGCAATATAGTGTTTTAGTTTTCTTGACTTAATCTCTTACTGTGGTAGCAATAGACAACTGAGAACTGATCTTCAGTTGATGAAACTTCATTTAAATGTATTTGCAAAAAATACATTGAGATATAAAGTAAAATTCCCAACAATTACAAGATGAAGAACTTTCCATGTGTTCATTATTCAGAAGGAAACTAGAATGGAGCTATTGATGAGGTGTAGAGGAAGTGAGTTACAGTTGTGTTCCTCACAGATTGCTTCCTCTTAGCGTTTCAAGACTGATTGTGTTTTTTAAAACCCAGGGATTTCACAATGAAAAGTTACCACTCCCACAAAGTGTGATCATTGAGAAAACTGGTAAATGCACTTTAAACAAAGGAAGACAAAAGGTTTTGGTTTGTGAGAGCCACCAGAGAAGAAATGACTCATAATTTATTTCAGGTATGAATGGCTGTCTGGCTATTTTGTAGAGCGTGCTCGCTCTCAGTCATCAGTGATGCAACATGGGATATACCACGTTTGAGCAAATGCCCCAAAAACTACGCTAACGTAGACAACCCAAAAACACCGCGCAAAATGTCTGAGAGGGTGAACGTGGGCCGCAATCTAAATAAAACATGAAATTGGCACAGATTTGGGTTTTTTATTACAGATTCAGCGATAAGAACCACTGATGTAAACCCCCTCCCTTAGTTAATTATACATTCTTATGTTTTATAAAAGTCCATCATGTGCCCTTTCAAAAACGTTTCCCTCTTTTGACCTTTGCTGTGCTAAATGGTGCTCTTAAAGTCTTCTGACAATGGCAGGGGCGAGAGCCAATAGGATTATTAGAAGGGATCACAGCATCCGTGTAGCTTGTAATCAGAACGCTGGTCTTTTCATTGTCTACTGCCTGGAGTGCTTCGGGATCCCAAACAATTCCAAAGAGGGAATTCCCCTTTCCTGCAGCTACAATCTCCCAGAATGCTGTTTTTGATAGCGGAAATCTTGGATTCTCTTACCAGGATATTCCAAAACAAAATAGTCAGCATTAATACCAACTTACTCACCCAACCTACAGTAAATCAAAAATGATCTGCTTAAGTCGACAGGGCTCCTTTTTCAAATAAACTTGTCTTCTTTTTTTGGGAATTCCCTCATGATGGCGGGAAATTCCCGTTCTTTTAGGATACACATAAGATTAAAGGCCCTATTTATCCTTTCTGTATTTGTCTGGATAAGTGTCGGACTGAAGTTTTCCCTCTTTGTTAAAGTATACGACGGCTACATCGCTACATCCTGATGCTCTTTTGAAACTGATTTTCAACAGGAACTGATCAACCGTTGTCACCTGACTTTTATTAATGCTTTGGTTTCTTAGAAAAAAGTTCCCAGACACTTAGGTGGGGACTTGTGACCTATTTTTTTCCACTCTCAGATTGGTGGGTAGTGCATTTTACTTTGTGGAAGTTCACTCACTTATAGACCCTGCTGTAAATGTGTGGGTGTGTGTGGCGTGGGGGAGAATCCCCAGCACACAGCGCATGGCCTTTTTAGGGCCTGTGTGTATTTCTACCATGTGGTTGGTTCATATAGACGAGATAGCGAGGTTGCCCTTTAAAGAAAACATTGGAAACAATTGTTCTGTGGGCACATGAGGTGGAGTCAGGCGGTTGTGTAATAAAAATGCAAATTAAATAAATGTATTGGAAACGTATTCAGCCACACATATCTTCCCCAGTTAGCTGATGAGTAAGTTAGCATGTGATACTGCATGGTGGCATTTCAAAGGGTTGTGTCAACAGTCAAACCTCGTCATTTTGTTTCCTGTAGCAGTCCTTTTTATAAAGCTTGACAACCTCACTTCTAGTTTGGGTGAAGAGATTTGAAACTGGCCACCAAGGCAGATCTTCCTCCAAAACTTCAGACAGTTAATAAAGATTTAGATATTGCAATATGCATTTATTTTATTCCTGAGAACTAGATTAGAATATCGATTATTTTCATTTGTAAAGAAGCAAGTGAAGAAATTATCCAGAAATATATTGAATAATATAGTATTTAAAGCAAGCCTAAGCCACTTTACAGTTACAGTTAGCCCTTGTATGAACCAAAATATTAGTCATAGCCTACAGTTACACCGAAATATCTAGCAACACTTTGCCGAGATTAGCCAACACTAACATAATCTATTGGTCATACCGAATGAAGTAAAGATGTAATATTGATATTATTTAAAACCTGACAATATTGTCTTTGTTACATTAAGCTAATACAGCATATTGAATTGAACAAGTTTTATTGCTTAAATATTTAAATTTTTATTTCTAAGAAGAATTTGTTTCTTCTTTAAACATTTTTACTTTTATCAGATTAAAGACAGCAGCAACAAGTAGTATGTGTTCACTCGCACACAGAGAACACAGTTGTTTGTCTTTGTCTTTTGTGCGCACTGCTACTGCCTACTTCCTTTTTAACAGGGGATGTCCAGCTTCCTGTGCTTACTACACGAAACCCATGACAAGTGAATCACAAACAGTAGCCTACTGCTGGCCTGTTTGTGTCAGAATGAAACAGACTGCAGACTGACGGCACAATGTTTTGGTCA